CCCGCACACCCCCCACCGGGGATGCGCCCGCAACCAAGGCACATGCCCTTGACAGGAATCGAACCTGGGACCCGTCAGTCTGCAGGCCAATGCTCTATCCACTGAGCCAAACCGGCCAGGACTGTTGTAACTTTTAAACTCTGCTATTGTAGAGTCAAAGCCACAATTGAAACAGTATGGTTATGGTGCAGTAAAACTTTATGTATGGATGCTGACATCTGAAATTAAAATTATTTTCACTTGTCAAAAAATATTCTTTTGATTTTTCAACAATTCAAATATGTAAAAACCGTCCTTATCTTAAAGGTTCCAGAAAAAACATGCCACAGGCCAGATTTGGCCCATGGGCCATAGTTTTCCAGTCCCTGATCTAAGCTTATGGAATTGCTAGAGCCCCAAAACAATACTGAGTGGAAAGTGAGCAAAGGAACTCTTGCCATTTGCAACAGCATGGATGGAACTGGAGAGCATTATGTTAAGTGAAATAAGCCAGTCAGAGAAAGATAAATACCACATGATCTCACTCATTTGTGGAATATAGAGAACAACATAGACTGATGAACAGGGACAGATCCAAAGACAGAGAAACAGCGATCAGACTTTCAATCCCCAGAGGGAAAGTAGGGGAGGGTGGTGGTAAGGGGAAGAGATCAACCAAAGGACTTGTATGCATGCATATAAGCCAAAGCAATGGACACGGACAACAGGGGGATGAGAGCATGAGTGGGGGGAGGGGGGCGTTTGGGGTTAGTGGGGGGATGAGGACACATTTGTAATACCTTAACCAATAAAGAAATTAAAGATAAAAAAATACCTTTGAAATTTCAGTGTTGAATTTGACCTCAAAGGCAAGAGAAGTAATGGCAAAAACAAATGAATGAGACTATATCAAACTAAAAAGCTTCTGGTCCAGCAGGCATGGCTCAGTGGTTGAGCGTTGACCCATGAACCAGGAGGTCAGTGCACATGCCTGGGTTGCAGGCTCAATCCCCAGTGTGGGGTGTACAGGAGAAGTGATTCTCTCATCATAGATGTGTTATGGGTTCACTCAGCGAGATAGACCACCAACTCAGAATTTAAGTTTAAGAGCCTTTATTAAGCTGGCCAGCTGACTACAGTTATAGCACCCTGCCGAAGCAGAAGCTGAACTGCAGTGCTGACTGCAAGAGTTACATTTTATTATTAAATTTTGTGGAGGCCCAGAGAAAAATGTGTCTTTCAAATTCTGGGCCCCCCAATATGGAGGAAACTCTCTTTATTTATACTTTTTCCAGTCCTTTGTCTCCCAAATTTGGAATGAGACTTCCGGGCCTTCTGAGAAAGAAGGCCTGCGTGCTGGGAAGGGGCCATGAGAGACCATATTTCAAGGCCTGGCCTGATGTCAGTACGTTCCTGTCTATGTGTTTTAGGAACAGACAGCACAGCATGACCTGTCTGGCCGAAGCGCCAGATATGCAGCCCAGCACAATGTTTCCATCTCTCTGCTTCTCCCTTCCTCTCTGAAATCAATAAAAATATATTTTAAAAAATAAGCTCTGCACAGCAAAAAAAACCAACAACAGAACAAAAAGGCAATCAAATGAATGGTAGATGATATTTGCAAATTACAGCTCCAACAAGGGGTTAATATAGAAAAATATATAAAGAACCCATAACTCAACACTAAACAAGCAAACAATCCAATTAAAAAATGGGCAGAGGACCTGAATAGACAACTCTTCCAAGAAGACATACAAATGGCCAACAGATACGTGAAAAGATATTCAACCTCACTAGCTATTAGGAAAATGCAAGTTAGAACTACAATGACATACCACCTCACACATGTTAGAAACAGTTACCACAGAGTCTGAGAAAAGAGAGACAGTACAAAGGAACAGTGTGCAATGATGTGTCTCTTCGACAGATGGCTGGAGTTCAGGGCATCTTAGTCCCGGACACTGTACCAATCGCTGCCTAATAGCTTTTGAGTGAGTCCCAGGGCCCACTTCAGCCCTAACACAGAGTCACACATTATTGGTTCTGGGCATAGGATTTAAGGTGAACTTGGTCAATGTTTGAATTCTATGGATAAATTCTATGGTCCGGATCAGCTATCTTTGACCTCACGGTGACTCACATACATTTTTCTTCCTTAAATGGAGGATAGTAACAGTCTCTAAGTCATGAGGTAATTGCAAGAATTGAGTTAATATATGCAACTACACTGAAAACCCCTGGAGAGATACCTGTGACTCAGTAAGACTCATAAGTTCTTAGCTTTACTAGGTCATGCACTTAGCACAATATCTGGTGTTTAACAAGGGAAGAATAGGTGCTATTTATATTCATTGTTACAAGTCCCCTGGAAAATGAGAAAGAAAACAGATGGGTGTACGGAAGAAGGTGCTGTTGTCAGCTGTTAACATTTGACATGATTCAACAACACCCTTCCATAATATTAACTCCACAAGCAAGGAATAGAAGGAAACATCACTAAGAGATATGCCGGGTTCCAGCCCCAGCGGGCCAGGGGTTCCCAAAGGTGTGGATGGAGTCAGCAAAGAATGAAGAACACGGAGAAAGCTTTCAAATGTTATTCTCCGTGGATCTTCCCTGTGCCTGGCTGAGGCCACAGAGAGAGATCCAGAGGCAAGCTGAGCCTTTATTTTATAGTCAGAGGTAATCAAGGTAGTGGTTACCATAGTTACACTGTTCTTGTGAGTTTCACTTGTTTTGGCAGCACTTGCTGCACCCCCCACCCCCTCAGCCCATTAGCTTCTTGTGAGTTTCACTTGTTTTGGCAGCACTTGCTGCACCTCCCTCAGCCCATTAGCTTCCCAGGTAAGATCTAGGGAGCATTATAAGGTCAAGCCTAATTATGCTAAGAGGACTATGCCCTCTAAGCTGGGACTTGTTTGTGACTTTGCCAACAGGCCAGTCCTATAGCTGCACCCCACAGAGATATGCAAATAAAAATTACAATGTGTCAACAATAAAAAACCATCACAATGTGTTTCCTAGCCAGGTGGCTCATTTGGTTGGAGTGTCATCCTATATACCAAAAGTTTATGGGTTTGATTCCCATTCAAGAGACATACCTTAGTTGCAAGTTTGATCCCCAGTTTGGGTGCATATGAGAGGCTACCAATTGATGTTTATCTCTCATATCCATCTTTTTCTCTCTCTCCATCTCTCTTTAAAAAATAAAACTTTTTAAAAAATGAGCAAGGATATAAGAGATCAGAATATCTCAATTTCACTTCCAGTGCCACACATGGAACATCTTAAAGGCTGTGAGTTATAGGCTTGTCCTGACAGTGGGCCACACAGTGACAGCAATGACGCCCCAGAGGAATTCACATGAGGTCTGGTTGGAACTATCAGCAATGAATGGATTTTTACTTATAAGTTGCACTGAGACAATATGGAGTAATTAATGTACAAAATGTACAACACAAACCTAGAGAATATTAAATATGAGAACCCAAACGAAGCTGGTTTCTAACAGTATAATTCCCATAATCTTCCTGTCCCCCCAAACCACCAGTGTTGTCAGTTTCAGTTGAATATGGTAAAAATAAAATACCCTTAGTGGATCCACATATGAGAGAGACAGTTGATACCACCTTATTCTATAGATGCCAAAAATACTGCCAAATCCTTCCACATGTTGAATTACATATATTGGCAGGAGTGTTTTGGGGGGCAAGGGTGGATATAAACACAACTTAGGAATGAATACAGAGTGCAATATAACCAAGACACTTAATAAGCCTATCTGTGGCTACAATCTCCAATAAAGTAGAAAATTTACAAGAAACTTATTAAAGAGGCGCATCACACAATGATAAAAGGAGCAATCCAGCCGAAACCGGTTTGGCTCAGTGGATAGAGCGTCAGCCTGCGGACTGAAAGGTCCCAGGTTCGATTCCGGTCAAGGGCATGTACTATGTACGTTGCTTGCGGGCACATCCCCAGTAGGAGATGTGCAGGAGGCAGCTGATCGGTGTTTCTCTCTCATCGATGTTTCTAACTCTCTATCTCTCTCCCTTCCTCCCTGTAAAAAACCAATAAAATATTTTTTTTTAAAAAAAGGAGCAATCCATCAGGGAAACATAATGGACCTAAAAATGAATGCACCAAACAACAGGGTCAAAAAGTATATGACGCAAAAACTGATGGGGCTGAAAGGAGAAATAGCCAAGTCCATAATGATAGTTGGGCTTCAAAACCCCCCTCTCAGCAAGTGATAGAACTGTTAGAAAATCAGCATATAGATCTTAGTAACACAATGAACTAACAGGATCTATGTGACAAATAGAACACTTCTCCTAACAGCAGCAGAGTACAGTATTTTTCAAGTGTCTATATAATATTCAACAAGACAGGCCATCTCCTGTGCCATCAAAGAAAACCCCCACAAGTTTAAAAAGAATTGAAATTACACAGAGCATGTTCTCTGACCATAGAGGGAGCAAATTAGAGATCAATAACCAGTTTGTCGTTCAGACCCTTGTTACAGAAAAGCTGAGATTGGAAGAGCTGTCTCCTGAACTCAAAGACATTTAAGACTGGGCAAAGAGAAAGCTCACCCTGGGTATTTCAAATAGAATATTGTTGGGGGCAAGGCACAATGGAGGAGGACAGTTTAGGAGGCTGGCCCCTTGGTTCCACCTGATATTAAAGCTTGTACTACACTGGCAAAGGAAGCACAGCTTTCCTGATGTATGGCTGGTGTCCAGTCTAACCCATGAATGTATACACCTCTGTTCTTTATAAATCCTGCTCCATTTTTTAAAAAGTTTCAACAGTTACCTCCTTTTCCTCCCCTATCTCCTTCTTTCCTTGCTCTTGCTCCTCCTTCCTCATTCTGAACCATTTCTCCTCTGATAGCACCATCTGTCAGATAAGGCTCTCCTATCTGGACGGGCAGAGGTGTTTCCTATCTGAGGTTTGTGGGATTGCTCTCTTAGGGCAGGTTGGCACTTAGTTGCCCTGTCATGGTGTTAGCCTAAGACATGGTACATGGTAAGTGGGCACAAATATGTCTCCAAAGTTGTATTTTTGTTCCTTCTTTCAGAAGTCAATGATGATGGTAGTTGGGCTTCACTTCAAGGAAGTGAGAAAGGTTGGAGTTCTTTGCTTGGCAATTTTGGAAACAGGACCGGTCCTTATCAATATGGTGGATATGAGCTTCAGCCTCCAAACCTCCTGAAGGATGATGGAAACGTGGAGATAAGGAAAGTCCAGAGGTACCAAAACAGACAGTAAGTGACCAGGCAGCCTGGTTTGCATGTAGCATCCCATAGGACTATGCAACTATTTCACTGTCCATGGTTTTCCTTTTCTTCTCTCTTTGGAAACTGAAGAATGTTAGAAGTGAAATCACGGTTGAGCAATCCTAATTGTAGTCCTGGTGCCAGAGATGAAGGATGCATAGAAGAATTTCTTAGCATTCATGGCCACCCTTTTCTTCCCCCCAGCAGCACTCCCTATAGAAGAGGACAGGACAGGAGGAGAGTGCAATGGTATAAAAAAGACTGTCTGCGTGTTACTCTCTGCAGTAATGAAACACATCTCAGAAGTGAAATGGAGAACATACAAGATCAAACCCTGGGGAGTTGGTTCAAGGTCACAGTGAGTGTCCTGAAAAAAATGTATGACATGTGCAGAAGAGAAAGGTCAGGTGGACTGTGTTGGTCTCACGTAGAGACGCTCGGTACTTTTCTGGGAACAGTTTACAATTTGTCCTTTTTATTACTTAACCATTTAAGGGCAAACTCAGAGAAGCAATATAAGGAAACAGGCTGACTATATGATAAACAGAGAGGGCTGTCTAAAAGGAAAGGTGGAATTACTGTCAAGGAAATGGAGTAAGTCCACACTAGATATCTCAGTTTGACTCAAGCTGGATATGGGAGATGGGGGCTCGAGTCTCTGGAAAACTTCTCAGAAGGGCAAGCAGTGTCCTAGACAGGATCTCCTGGAACTTTATAAAAGGAAGAAAATGTCTAACACCTTAAGTTGTTTATGGGGAGGAGAGCTTCAAATGGAGAGATAATAGCCCAGCCCATGTGCTCAGTGGTTGAGCATCGACCTCTGAACCAAGAAGTCGTGGTTTGATTTGCATCAGGGCACATGCCTCAGTTGTGGGCTCGGTCCCCAATGTGGGGCATGCAGGAGGCAGCCAGTCAGTGATTCTCATCATTAGTGTTTCTGTCTCTCTCTCCCTTTCTCTCAGAAATCAATAAAAGTATACTTTAAAAAATAAATGGAGACATAATGGATTTAAGAACTCCATATTTTGCACAAGAAATCATGCCAGGGCCCCCTCTTTAAAAGCCTTAAAGCTCAGTAGAAGGTAGGAAAAAAACACTGTGTTGGGTCTGTTCTCCAGCCTTCTTTCATGTTGTTCCTTTTGTCTCCATTCCCTTTTCACCCTTAGGTTGCCTATGGAAGAAAGTATGACAGGACATGGCTAATGGATTCAATCCAGAGCCATTGCAGTGTCCCCTTCACTCCAGTGGATGTAAGAGAGGATGGTGAAGCCAGATGAGGGGGACACAGCATAGGGGGAGAAACCTGGTTCAGCTAGGGCCTTTGGCTTCTAACACTATGGTTGTTGCTTCAATCCCTATAGTTTCACCATGTGCAAAACAAGGCCCGGTTCTTTGTCCAGGATGCTCAGGCTGCCTCTGCATTGAAGGATGTCAGCAACAAGATTTATGATGAGGAGAACCAAAAGGTATGTGTCAAGGTCTTTATCTGTCCTTAGTCCCTGTGCAAGAGGACAGGCAGAGCTGGTCACTTTCTGTAGGACAAGGATTTGTGGCGCTAACCAATCCTCTTCTTCCTGCAGATAGCTATCTTTGTCAGTACTTCTGCTGTACCCTTCTCTGTGCGGGATAAATTGGAGCCAGAAATAATGGAACAGCTAAAGGTAATGCAGACTCAACGGTACATGTTTGCCCTCAGATCCTCCCCTGTTCCTCCTCCAGCCCCGATTTCCCTATCACCATCACAGCCTCAGAGTTCTCTCTCCATCTCCCTCTGTAGCTGACCATGTACAAACGATATGATGCCTCTCAGAAAGCTCTTGATCTCCAGTTGCTCCGCTATGACCCAGGTATGTCTGACAGCAGTAATTCTAGGGCACTTAAGGGCAGAGGGTTCTGCCGGGGAGGAAGACTTAGGGATGGTAACAAGGAGGTTTTGGTGCTGGCCCTGGACCTCTCTCAGCCTTATTTCCTACTCTTGGTTTCCTGAAGATTTGGTGAGATGTGATGTTGATATAATCCTGAATAGAAGAAACTGCATGGCTGCCACTCTGCAGATCATTGAAAAGGATTTCCCTGAGGTGAGGCCTTAGACCCAGTGCTGGTGTTATGGTAGGGGGTGGAACAGATGGGACAGACGGCAGATTTGTCTCCGAGGTCCTAGATGGTAAGCATCACTCTAATTCTTCCCCAAAGCTGTTGTCCCTGAGCTTGTACAACAACAGACTGTGCCAGCTGGATGGCCTGTCTGATATTATACAGATGGCACCCACAGTCAAGATCCTGAACCTTTCCAAAAATGAGGTGAGAAGAGGAACAGATCAAAGTTGGGTTGAGAGTAGGTGATAGTGGTTATCAGAGTGATAACAAGAGGTAAGGGAAGGTACCTGTGGGGAAGGGAGTGGGCTGTGGGTTCAGGGGCTGGGATGTCCCTTTTCCCTTGAACTATTTTTCAGTCCCCCCCCCCATATTTCTCAGCTTAACTCTACCTGGGAGTTGTGCAAAATCAAAGGCCTGAAACTGGAAGAGCTGTGGCTGGAAGATAACCCTTTGTGCGGCACCTTTCTAGACCAGTCTGCTTATATAAGGTCAGTGTGAGCCCCTCTCATCATTCCTGGGGTCCTTTGACTCTTGGGAGCATAAAGTACCTCTGACAGTGCCATGTCACAGATGGTGGAAGCCCTGGTTCTCTGGTAGGAGTAGAAGCCCTACCTTCTCTTCTCTGTATCCCTCACCTGTGCTTAGAGGTCTTCTACCCTTCCTCTGACCTGCTCACTGGTTCTCATGGTCTGGGGTCTGGCTCCTGACTCTGCATCTAGGTTTCTCTAGCAAGCCCACCAAGAATGTGCTCCAGGATACAGGGCTGCCCACTCACCAGGTCTAGGAGTGTTGAGCCCCCAGGCAGATATTGCTGATCTGGGGTGAGAAACATCCTCTACCATAGGCACATGTGAGACAGTCTTTCCTGCTTCTGAGAGGATACAGAGTATCCCTAACTATTTGGGGAAGAACTTTCTTTCCCTTGCATGTCAAGGTTCTCCACTAGAATCCCAGGTGAATGTGGGGACTTTCCTGCCCCATGCTAAAGGCCCAGGCCTCAGGTGGCTGTCATCATGACATGCATTCCTTTAGTACAATATCAAGGAGGGGCCATCCTTGGTAGACGTCAGGGTTTCCTGAATTAGGGGCCATAAGTGAGCCACACGCAGTGAGCAGAGGGCCTCTTGTAGCAATGGAAGGCAGAGGGAAGAGGGGATTGAGGAGACAGAAGGACAGCCCTGTCAGTGTCACTGGCCCTCCCTCAACATATCACATCACCTGTCTGGTCCTTCAGAGGACCCCTGAGTAACCTTAAGCAGGTAGGATTCCTCAAAAAAGGAACCAACTAAGACAGACATAGGTACACAGGGACCATGAGGAGGGTAGGTGGTAACTATAAGAGAGGGCCACAGACCCTTGACCCTGTGCTCAACTGGGGACTGATCCTTACTCCTTCTGGGGAAGGTCTCCTGATCCCATGGGTGGTGCGTTTCCCATGCCCAGTTCAGGTTGACAGGTGACAAAGGCTTAACCAACATCCCATGGCCCTGAGGCCAACAGGTGCATGTTTTCCATTCCTACCTGGAGACCCAGGGACATCCAGGGGCAGATGAAGGAAAGGACTGCCGCAGAGGAACCATGTCCCCTCTCTTCTCTCTTCTTTCCTGGTCCCACCTCCGCTGCCAGGGCAGAGTTTCTTTCTCTTCCCTTTACTTTTCTTTTTCTGTCTCCTTTGTCTCTATTCTTCTGTTTCTTTCCAATCTCCGCTCCTATCTTCACTCTCCTTCTGTCTTCATCTCCTTCCTTTTCCCTCCCTCACTTCCCTCCCTACCCCAGAGTCCTGGGCCTTCTTTGGGGCATGTCTTGTTCCTGGCAGATACTGGACCCCCAGTGAGGTAGCAGAAACTTGAGCCCCCATCACTTTGCCTCTTCTCTCTGGAGCCATCAGTGGTGGCCTAGAGGAAGGGAAAGGAGGCAGGGAGGGGGAAGAAGCCCTGGAGCCTGGGATCCAAATGCTGTGTCTTGTGGCACTGGAGAAGGAGTAACCAGGAAAATAGAGAGGGAGAAAGAGAGAGAGGGAAAAGGTGAGGAAGGGAAGAAGTAAGAGCAGTAATATGAATATGAAGGTGTGGAGAGAGATGAAGAGACTGTGTGTTTCAGAGATTCCATATGGTATATGGTTAGTGCTCAACAGGGAAGTGGTCCGAGAAGCTTTGAAATTAGAGACTGATGAGAGCAAAGGGAGTTGCTGGGTAGGCAGAACACCTGTCTCTGTTCATGCCATCAGTGTTTTTAGTAAATGGAAGCATTCTAACCCAAACTATCAATCACTTCTTTCTATTTTTGGATTTGGACAGCGCCATCAGGAAATGTTTCCCCAACTTGTTACGCTTGGTAAGTGCCTACATTCATCATTTCTCTTGCTATTAATGATCTCCACACCTTCCCTCAAGCCCTTTCTATCTTCTCTGTATTACATGTTTGCACCAGACCATTACCACTTGGGGGACATAGACTTTTGAAAAATACATGAATATGATCTCTGTGAAAATGTATATACACAGAGAGAGGGAAGGAGAGTCAGTAAAAGAAAGGAGGGAGGGAAAGAAAGAGAAACAGCACACAAAAACACACATACACAAGTTGCATAAAACAATAGAGACTTCCAGGACGTTATGATGCAGACACCCATTGGAATTTTGCCCATAGCTCTTTCACTCTTTTAAAAATATATTATTATTGTTCTCAGAGAGGAAAGGAGAGGAAGAGAGAGATAGAACCATCAGTGATGAGAGAGAATCATTGATCGCTGCCTCCTGCACACCCCACACTGGGGATCAAGCTGGAAACCGGGCATATGCACCGAACAAGAATCGAACTGTGACCACCTGGTTCGTAGGTTGACTCTCAACCACTGAGCCATGCCAGCTGGGCAGGTTCTTTCACTCTTGACCTCCAACCTTCACCGTCTCCTGGCCACATCCTTTCTTTTAATCACCCAAGACCACCTCCCTGGTCTGTACTGCTAACTTATCTTCCCTTCTCCAGGATGGACATGATTTATATCCACCAATTGACGTTGACATTGACAGCCACTACTTAGTAAAGCCCTTAAAGGTGAGAAAAAAGATCAAAATTTGGGCTATTGTAAGGGAGGCTTTATCAGCCACATGGTCTCAAATATCTTTGATTCCAGGAAAGCTATAATGGATCTGATGGTCTGAAGAATCAAGTCCTGCATTTTCTGCATCAGTAAGTACCCCGGAAACCACCAGGAATGTGGAGGGCTAGGACAGTCCTGTCCACTCAAGCACAGGTTTTCCCTAAGAATTTTCAAATCACCCTTGAGGTCCAGTCCATAGAGGTAGACTGTCTTCATTGTCCCCTCACAGATATTACTTGATCTATGACTTTGGAGACAGATGGAGTCTCCTCAGTGCTTATCACGATGAGGCCTGCTTCTCTCTGACTATTCCCTACATTCCAGACAACCCAGCCCCGTGAGTATCAAAGCTCAAACTCTTTTTCTGGGGCGGGGGGGTGTCTCCCCAGCAGAAACCAGTCTGCTCATGGAAACACCCCTACTGGCCAGATCTCCACATCCTATTCTTCTTTTTCTCCTAGAAGCCGCTTATTTGAGTACCTCAGGGATAATGAGTATATGAACTTCCAGAACCCCAGTGCGTGTGGGATGGGGAAGATTGGGCAGGGAAAGGGGGCATGAAGGGTCAGTCATAGGCTCCAGGGAGTGGCAACCCTGACCTCTGCTGTCCTTTCCTCACAGACCTGCGTTTTCAGCTGCTGAGACATACAAAATATGACATTGTGAGCACCCTCTGTGTGTTGCCCAAAACTCAGCATGACCTCAACTCCTTTATTGTGCACATATGGTTCCAGTCGGAGAGCATCCTCTTCCTCCCCCAGGTAGGCCCAGAAAGACACAGGTGGGTGACAGGTGTAGATCAAGCATGTCAAACTCGCGGCTGGCTGAGCAACTGCACTCCTCCCTTTCAGGAAAGCCTGTTCTTCTTTCGTGTCCATGGGGTATTCAAGGAAGGTGAGTGTGTGGAATGTCCTCCCCAGATGCCCCACTGATACCTCCCCCTGGCTGGACTCCCTCTCAGAACTCTCCCAGCTTCCCAGATCCCTTCCCTTTTATTACTGTCTTGTGTGTGTTTGGCCTCCAGTCTGTCCCCAAACCATTCTGGTCTGACCTGTGTCCATGTCTGTCAGCCCCATACAGCTGGGGCTTTGGGTACACAGGTGTGGGGTTTGATGGCTGTCATTCCAGATCCTGATTGTGAGAACATGGGCCTTTTACCTAACCAAATGCAGCTAATAATACTCACCTCTTGGGTAGCTGCAAAAAATGAATCAAATGAGCTTGTGAAACAGTTGTTCCATGGTCTCCCATATAGTCGGGTCTTTGTCAATGGGAACAGATTGCTCCTGTTGTTGCCATCCCCATTCCAGATGCCCAGACTCCCAGTGAATAGTTGTCCCCTTGGACATGAGTATGGAGTCCTATGCTGACTGGGGAACACTGTCTGAGAGTGTAAAGTATTGGCGACTCCAAGGTGGGTGTTGATGTTTGTTGTTGAAGGGGAAGGACAGTCTCAGGATTCTGTGTGTGCCTTCACCCGGACCTGCATTGCTACCCCTGCTAACAATTCCAGGTGAGTACTGTGCTCTGGGTGGGAACATGAAGCCCAACCTGGGCTCAGGGCTGTGGGAGTGTGGCAGTACATGACCTTGGGGCTTTCTCAGTATTGTGGAAAGCTAAAAGGTATATCTAAGGAACAGTCCTCCATGGGGGTCAAGAGTATGAGCTCTGGAGTTAGAACACTGAAAATGTTTCAGGTTTCTTTCAGGTTCTGTTCATGACCCCAAAACTCACTAGACTTATTTCTTAGTGAAATTGCATTACCTCTCTCTGACACTGTCTTCCTCTGAAAATGGGATTAGACTACCCTCTCCCTTGAGCTATTATATAGAGTAAATGCAATGGGGTTAGGGGTACAAATCTAGTGAAGCTTGTTGACAATCTCTCCAAGGGTAGGTTCAGTGGGAGTGGCAGAGCTACCAGGCAACGTATCTGGGGAGCAGATACAGGGGGGTATGGGAGGAATCTGGTTGCTGAGTGGTAGTGGAAGCAGGATCATTGTTGAGGGTGTGGGATTGTCTGTCCATCAGTTGTCTAAAAGTCCATTTTTCCTCCAGCCTATGTATCATAAATGATGAATTGTTGGTGGGGGATGCCACCCCCAACAAGACTCAGAATGCATTTCCCACCCAAGTGCCCATACCTTCCTTCAGTACTGGGCCCACCCTCTCTCAGGAGCAGCAAAAAATGGAACAAGTCTCCTCCACCCCATCTGGGATGAGCTTCTAGTAGTCTCAGAAGTGAGTGATGGGTGTTCATGGGGATAGGAGGGAGCTGGGAGGATTGCATAGTGGGAACTTAACAGTAATTATTTTAGATCTTTCCTTTTTTTAAACAAAAGTTCACATGTGAAAAAACCTTAATTTTATGCTAGTACATTGCAATATTTAGTAAAACCCAGTTTTCCTACTGTATACACTGTTTTGATATTTTTTTATTAGCACCAATGTAGTTTCCTTTAAGTATATGTTAAGCTACCAAAGATCTATATATTAAGCAGTTGAATTCCAGTAGTCCATAAGCTATTATCTATAATAATAAAAGTGTAATATGCTAATTAGACCGGATGTCCTTCCGAACAAAGCCACGGCTGCAAGGGAAGCCTGGGACCCAGGTACCTGCCTGTGGCTGAAGGGAAGCTGAGGTCCCAGGAGCCAGAGAGAAGCTGGTGCTGGCACCTGGGGGAAAGAAGGCCTACTCTTGCATGAATTTCGTGCATTGGGCCTCTAGTCCTATATAATAAAAGGCTAATATGCAAATTATCCCCTCGGGAGTTCAACTGACTGGGAATTTGACCTCTTGTTATGACATACATTGACCACCAGGGGGTGGCGCAAAAAGAAGGAAGGCCCGGGCCAGCCTTCGGCAGCGGGGGGAAGGCAGGCCCCAATAGGCCCTGATTGTCAGCCAGGCCTAGGGACCCTACCTCTGCACGAATTTCATGCACCTGGCCTCCAGTTGATAATTATTTGTCTTTTCACTGCCTTTTCAGCATTACATGAGTGCCACCTAGTCTTTCTGGTGCATACATTTGGTAAATTTGGAGGCTTCTTTCTGTGGCAAGATATAGCAGTGACATTGTGAGGTCAAAGTGTCTCCACTTGGTCCTAAGGGAGGTCATCTGTCCTCCCCCACCATCAGCTCTTTTAGTACAATGATGAGATGACACCCAAACTTAAAGTTCTTTCCTCATTAAAAAGTGAAGTCTGAGAATCCTATATAATAAAGAGGTAATATGCAAACTGACCATCACTCCAACACACAAGACAGCCACCCCCATGTGGACACAAGATGGCCACCACAAGATGGCCTACAGGGGAGGGCAGTTGGGGGGAACCAGGCCAGCAGGGGAGGGCAGTTGGGGGGGACCAGGCCTGCAGGGGAGGGCAGTTGGGGGGAACCAGGCCAGCAGGGGAGGGCAGTTGGGGGGGACCAGGCCTGCAGGGGAGGGCAGTTGGGGGAACCAGGCCAGCAGGGGAGGGCAGTTGGGGGGGACCAGGTCGGCAGGGGAGGGCAGATGGGGGGGACCAGGCCTGCAGGGGAGGACAGTTGGGGGAACCAGGCCAGCAGGAGAAGGCAGTTGGGAGGACCAGGCCAGCAGGGGAGGGCAGTTGGGGGGACCAGGCTGGCAGGGAGGACAGTTGGGGGGACCAGGCCTGCAGGGGAGGGCAGTTGGGGGGAACCAGGCCAGCAGGGGAGGGCAGTTGGGGGGGACCAGGCCGGCAGGGGAGGGCAGTTGGGGGGGACCAGGCCTGCAGGGGAGGACAGTTGGGGGAACCAGGCCAGCAGGAGAAGGCAGTTGGGAGGACCAGGCCAGCAGGGGAGGACAGTTGGGGGGACCAGGCTGGCAGGGAGGACAGTTGGGGGGACCAGGCCTGCAGGGGAGGGAAGTTGGGGGGGACCCCGGCCTCCAGGGGAGGGCATTTGGGGGCGACCAAGATGGCAGGGAAGGGCAGTTGGGGGCAACCAGGCTGGCAAGGGATGGCAGTTGGGGGTGACCAGGCCTGCAGGGGAGGACAGTAGGGGCAATTGGGCCGGCTGTGGAGCAGTTAGGCATCGATCAGGCTCTCAGGCAGAAGTGGTTAGAGGCAATCAGGCAGGCAGGCAGGCGAGCGGTTGGGAGCTAGTAGTCCTGAATTGTGGGAGGGATCCCAGATTGGAGAGGGTGCAGGCTAGGCTGAGGGACACACACCCCCATGCATGAATTTCATGCACTGGGCCTCTAGTTTAGATATAAAAAGAAATGGGTCCCAGGCTTTTAGCAAGGTCAAGTGGACAGAAGTCAGGTGGCCTGGGGATGAATCTTAGTGGCCTTTGCTCTGCTGTCTTCCCAATGCTCTCTCTTGACTTTCTCTAGATGAAGAGCAAGATCCCAGAGGAGGCCTTCATGCAGTGACCTAGGATCTTGTAAACAAAGCCCAGGAAATGAGCCCTTAGGTGCTCTCACTTTCATCCTCATCATATTTGTTATATCTCTCTTGCAACCTGAGGCCACATCCATGACCAAGGTTGAAGCCAGACTAACCAGGAATCCAAAGTTCACCTTGAAGCCTGCCAATTGTTCTGTACTTTTCCCACTCAAAATCCTTGTTTATTTTCATATTAAAGAGTTACATTGCAAATTATATGTTTTGTGTCTCGGGTTGCTCTTCCCCTGTCCCAACCATGAGCCAACAGGGCCAAGACCAGAAGGTCCAGTCTTCCCCTTCATTCATGGCAGTCTCTAGCATTTATATCAGGCCTTCACAGTGCTTGAAAATTATGGAGTAGGAACTGCATTCCTGGACTACCTTAAAATCCAAGCTTTGCTCCCTGTACCCTGATAATCTCTGCACCACTTCAGAGTACTGCACAAGCTGTGATGCTCACTTCTATAAACAAACAACACCTTTATCAAGTAGAGTGCCATATTCATTGTAGTATTTATGAATTTCTTGACCATTTTACTGGTCTAAAACCATGCTAAGCTTTTTATTCACTTCTTGTCTTATATCTAAAGTTTCACTGACAAAGGTTAGAGAGTTGTGTACCTAACCCTATTTCCCCCCTCTATGTTGTTTTTTTATTTTGAAATATTCATTGATTTACCAGAAGTTTTAAAAATTGTGCGGGGAGGTCATTTATACCCTCCACCATCTTGCAGCAAGAACATCTTGCATTACTATAGCACTATATCAAAACAGGAAATGGCTCTTGGTACAGTCCACAGAGATTACTGAGATTTTACCAGTTTTATATGCACTTATTTCCATGCACTTTTACGAGCCATGTAGATTCTATAACTCTCACCACAAACAAGATACAAACTGTTCCATCACCACAACTTTCCCTTGTGCTACCCATCATACCAGAACAAGCTTCTCTCTGGCCCCATATCTTAACCTCTTTCAAACACTTGTAATTTTTTAAATGTCATATAAATGGAATCTTCTAGTGTGCAACCTTTGGAATGGGTTTCTTTCACTCAGCATGATTCCCCTGAGAACCATCCAAGTTAAGTGTATCGATAGTCTGTTCCTTTTTATTGCAGAGTAGTATGCCATTGTATGCATGTACCATGGTTTGTTTAACCATTCACCTGTTGAAGGCCATCTGGGCTATTTTCACTTTGTAACTATCCTATATAATAAAGAGGTAATATGCAAATTGACCCTCACTCCCTCATGCCACCACAAGATGGCTGTGCCCACAGTGGAAGCGGGGTTCCTGTAATGAGCCATAATGAGCGAGCAGCAGGGACCTGAGGCTGTGTGGCACTGGGGCCGGGGACCTGAGCTGCACTCCCCACCCGGTGGGGCTTGACAGGGGACCTCAGGCTATGCCCCTGGCCCAGTAGGGTTTGACAGGGGACCTCAGGCCATGCCCCCCACCTAGCAGGGCTTAAAGGGGGACCTCAGGCTGTGCCCCCCCACCCTTGGCTGGGGGACCTGAGGCCACGCCCCCGGCACAGCAGGGCTTGATAGGGGACCTCAGGCCAAGCCCCCCACCCAGTAGGGTTTGATGGGGGACCTCAGGCTGTGTGCCTCAGTGCCATACCAGGGGACCTCAGGCTGCACCCCCCACCTGGTGGGGCTTGACGGGGGACCTGAGGCTGTGCCCCCTACCCAGTGGGGCTTGACAGGGGACCTGAGGCAGCGCCTCCCCAACCTGGTGGGGCTTGACAGGGGTGGGGCCAGCTGGGTCTGGATCTCACCCAATGTGGGTGGGGCCAGCTGGGTCTGGGTCTTGTGTGATTTCGAGGTGCACACAGGTGGGCGGGGACTTGACTCTGGGTCCCGTAGCGTGCCCCAGACTTTGACAGGAGGAATATTTTCATATACATTTTACTAATTTTCTTTCAGCTCTGATACTTCTATTATAGAGAAAGGGCAAATAGCAATATTAAAATATTTCCTCCAATTCCCTTTTAATGTGCATGAATTTCATGCACCAGGCCACTAGTCTATATAATAAAAGCCTAAGCAATCTTTACGACAGAACAACCAGAATGACCAGTCACTATGATGTGCACTGACCACCAGGGGGCAGATGCTCAATGCAGGAGCTGCCCCCTGTTGGTCAGTGTGCTCCCACAGGAGGAGCACCACTCAGCCAGAAGCTGGGCTCAGGGCTGGCAAGTGCAGTGGTGGTGGCGGGAGCCTCTCCCGCCTCCGCAGCAGTACTAAGGAGAAGTGAGCAATGCTAAGGAGCAGCGAGCAGGTGGGTGGTAAGGGGCGAGGGGTCCTGGACTGCAAGAGGGTGCAGGCCCAGCTGAGGGACCACCCCTAGTACATGAATTTTGTCCAATAGGCCTCTAGTTATGAATAAAACTCTTAGGAGTTTTATTCATGTGCAGGTTTTTGCATGAACACAAATTTTTATTTCTCTGGGCTAATTGCCTTTGTGCAATTGGTGTACAATATGGTAATTGCATGTTTAATTTTCAAATAAATTGCCAAATTGTTTTTGCAGAGTGCCTGTACCATATTAGCAATGGTACCATTAGCCTGTACCATTTTATCTGTCCAAAGGTTTGCCTGCATTTGGTGTGGTCCATATTTTTTTAGCCATTTTGATAGGTATAGGTGTCCTTAAGTTTTCTTTGTGTTTTTAATTTGAATTTCCATGATGGCTAAAGATGTTCAATATCTTTCCCCATAGCTATTCACCACCAGTGAATTATCAGTTCATGCTTTTTGTCCATTTTCTAATTGGATTAAGTGGCCAGATGTAGCTCTAGAGAGCTGCAC